TTTTCTGGAAGGACATGGAAGGTTACGATATCACTAAACCTTGTGGACGCACCAGGATAAAATACTGCCAAGGGAAGACAAACATGGCCAATTCAGAGCAAAGTTTTGAAACTAGCCGAGTGGGGAGCCCACATTACATAACGGAAAGACTTCGAAGTTGGAAGATGATGGTTTGAATCCTTGTGTCGTCCTTTACAAGCTCTATTAACTTGGGCAAATCAGGTATTTCCCAAAATACGGGTGAAGAATCACAAGCAGTACCCACGGCGTTCTTCAGGACAATTCAGGCGGTGCAGAAGCCAACGCCGGCTGATGCTCCGCCCAGGCAATGCATTGCTGAGGGAAAAAGTTATTCTCCGATCAATTTCCTCAGATCCTTCTCAATACATCAGGGACAAAGTTTCTATTTGGTCCTAACTTTCTAACACTGGCTAGTTTCATATTTTAACAAATGGAGAGTAGGCTTCAAGCTCAGAATTAGAGTTTAATAACACTTTTATTTCCACTGTATTTATTTCAAAGATCACCTCCTGTGAATTGCAATCTATACTGGTTTTGCATTTATGGGAGGGGTACAAAATTTCCCTTAAAAACCAAAGTGAGTAAACTTAAATAAAAATATTAAACAAAAAAATAGAAAGGTGGTATGCCATTTAGTGAAGAAACATATTGGTTTTCTGAGAGTGCAAGATCAGGGCAAAAAGTGGTCCAGGAATGACTCAAGAGCGGAAAGTATGGGAAGCACTCGGCCCACTACTTAACCCTGCGGAGCCTCAGTTCTTCATTTATGGGCTAAGGAAAACAATGACTTGCCAGGTTGTTGTCATGATATGCGCTAAGAAAAAACAATCAGTATTATTTGGAGATGGAAAAGATGAGCTTGATTATCTTTTTCATTAATGCAGACAACCAGGAAAAGAGCATAAAAATGATCTAGAAATTATTTTTTTAAATTATTGATTCTGTTCAAATGGGGGAACCCTTGTTCTGTTTCTTGCGGCAATAAATATTTTTCTGACTAATAAAAAAAAAAGATAATATATGGTAAGCTCTTAACCTAAGGCCAGGTCTCGACAAACATTTACTATAAAATTATCTCCAATATTTTAGCTTCCCCTTTCTTTCCTTCCCCTATCTCCTCCCAGATTCCCAAATACCTTCTCTCTTTCTTGTCTCCTCGTGGAAATAGGAAGAGGTCTGGTAGTCCTACTTAGATATATTTTGACAGATACACAAGAGAGTGAGTTTTTTCCAAAATATTACCTCAACTATGCATTTACATTATGAGGTAGATTTGTGTATTTAGTTTGCCTGTTTGATTTTTACTTCTAATTACGAAATAAGTTCCTGTTCCTCATTAAACCAATTTCAAGCTTCTGCAAGTAAATAGGGAGAGAAGGAGCCTATAGGAAACACTCTATCAATATATAAGAACAACCCTTAAGATAAACATGGATACAGCTCTTTTTTTTTTTTAGAACTCAGACAGCTTCGTTACAGGGTCCTTCCTCTTCTGGAAAGAACAAACAGGAATTGGCTTCTCTCTTGCCAACTGGAGCCTATTCCTAAATGGAACCAAATGGCCTCTGCTGTCTTCTTCTAGGAGTTGGCTTTGTCCCATCACAAGTCACACTAAGAGATGCCTCCCTCCCAAATCGTCCTGGAATGCTCCCTTCCCCAAGAGAGCACGAGATCCCCCCACCCTGCCCTCCTCCCTCCAGCTTGAATCCTCTCTGCCCCAGTATATTCTGGCACCATTTTGTTGAATTGTTAATAGTATTTCCAGGTGACGTCTCTTCCTACCCTGACATCTTAGAATGCAAACCTATGCCCTCTATATTCTACGGCTAAGTTGTTGCACTGCATCTTTAACGATAGAAATAAGAATATATTATTATTTTATCTGCGCTCCTCCCTTTTCTAGAGCTGGACCCCTAGCAGTCCCAGGATTCACAGCTAGGTGATTTGTACATGCGCAAAGCCAGTTTAGATTACTTTCAGCAGCTTGCTACTCTCCTCAGCTTGCCATTGCTAACGACAGCTTAGGGCTGTAACGTGATACATTCCAGAAGGAAGCCATGGGGAGCTGGCTTTGATTTGGGGCCAAGCCATGCCAAGGTGTTCTTGATGCAGTCCACCGTAACAGTGACCGGCACTGTAGATGCAGCACAGCCTGACAGGTTGGGTTTAGGTTGAGACGTGAGATCAAAGGATGACACACCCAAATAGTTTTGATCTATGAAATTAATCAAAATGCACAGGAATTGGACCATCCTGTGTTTTGTTTTATTGAGGATTATCCAGGACAAAAAAACCAATCAAACTTTTTGTTTTAATATTACACATGTGGATATTATCATTACTGCTAACAAAGTTCCACACACATGTATCTCTTTTGATCCTTTTCATTTCAGTCCCTTAAACTGAGGATATTTTATAATGTATCAATACATAGACTTAAAATGATATTCAAACTCCTTACCATGGCCCACTAGGCCCAGGATGATCTTCACCCCTGTTTGTTTTACAATTTCATCTCATAATGTTGCTTTCTTGCTCACACTGGCTTCTTTCCTGTTTCTGAAATTTAGCAAGTTGTTTTCTACTTTGGTGGCTTTGCACCTTCAGTTTCTCCTACCTGGAAGGCTCTTCCTCAGCTCTTTACACAGCTGGTTCTGTCTCATCAGTTAGGTCTCAAGTAAATGTTACATCCCCAGAGACTTCCCTGACCTTCACTATATCTAAAGATGGTTCCCACCCCTGACTTTGGCCCTTATCAGACCAGATCCTGTCTATACCACAGAACACAGAAAATGTTTTCAGCGATTACTGTCTGAATTCTCCCAAGGACTGTTTATAACTTGTACCATAGGAGAGAAGTTAATCCATTACATGCAAATAAATGCCTAGAGCATTAGAGTTTAATTCTCTACGATCTAATCTATCATAGCAACTGGCTTATTTCCTTTACAGCACTCACCACACTCTGTAATTATTTGGTTTATCATTTGCTTATTTATTTACTGTCTATCACCCCACTCTAGAATGTGCACTCCACGAGAGCAGGGAGCTTGTTGTCTGTCTTGGTCAGGCTGAGTCCCAGATGTCTAGCACAATGCCTGTGGCATTGTAAATGTATGGGAAATCTTTGTTGATGAGTGAAAGCACGTTATCTTGCCCTTGATGATTTAGAATCTTTGCAATGCCCTAGGGCAGCAGTTCTTAAATGTTAGTGTACTCACTGAAGAACCATTCTCCAAAGATTCAGATTCAGTATCAGATCATTCTACAATTGACTCTTTTAAGTAAAAGAAAAATGTTGAGGTTGGGTTGGGTGTATGTTAAGACATCCAAAGTTGTCTTCCTTTTAAAATGAAATGCTTGATTTTATTTCATCTTTATTTTATGTGGCATACTTGACTCTATCCAAAAAACATTAGATACTTACATCAGCAGAACACAATATTGTGGTTAACCGAATAGCGACAATATCTTCAAAAATAAAGACAATAGATTTGCAAGGTTAATTACTTGTTCTTGAGGGGAAAAAAAGTCATTGTTTTACAGGCCAATGAAGTATTTGCTAACAATTTTGCCAAAACCCAGAACACTTACATTTTACTAGAAAGTTTTCTGCCCACAATGTTCACATGAATCAAAAAGCAAAGGAGGAAAACAGTAAGGCAGTTCCTCAAAAAATGAAACATACAATTACCACGTGATCCAGCCATTCCATTTCTAGGCATATACACAAAAGAACTGAAAGCAGGGATTCAAACAGTTATTTGCACACCCATGTTCACAGCAGCATTATTCATAGGAGCCAAAAAGTGGAAGCAAATGTTGGATGGAAAAAATTCACTGACAGATGAATTGATAAACAAAATGCGGTATATACATACAACAGAATATTACTCCACCTTAAAAAGGAAGGAAATTCTCACACATGCTACAATATGGATGGACCTGGAGGAGATTATGCTAAATGAAATAAACCAGTCACAAAAGGACAAATACTGTTTGAGTCCACTTACATGAGGTACCCGGAGTAGTCAAATTCAGACAGAAAGTAGCATGGTGGTTGCTGGGCTAGCGGGAGAGAGGAACGAGGAGTCACCGTTTAACAACATGGTTTCAGTTTGGGAAGATGAAAAAGTTCTGGAGACGGATGGTGGTGATGATTGCACAACAATGTGGATGTACTTAATGCCACAGGACTGGACACTTGAAAATGGTTAAAATGAAAAATTTTATGTTACGTATATTTTACCACACACACACACACACGCAAAGGCAAAAGAAAGGAGAAACGATGTCTTGATGAAGATTTTGAAATAGAGGTTTCTCTCTGCTATGCATACATAGTGACGGACTTGTTGCATTCCTCAGAATCTCCTAGGTAGATCCCAGAAACTAAAGGCACAGAAATTCACGCGACATACCAAGCAGTGTGACTTTGCGGCCGTGAACGCACAAAGGGAATCCTGCGAGGATTCACGAACGAGTTAAAAGCGTCCTCTCAGCCCTGCCCAGCTCTTGCATTCTGTTATTCTTCGCTTTTAAATTCTCAAAGACGTCCTGAGCAAGACACTCCTCAAGAAAAGAATGGGACAGACAGAAGCGATAGCTAAGTGCTGTGTGACTTGATAGAGGAAACTGCCTCAGGGCAGCAAAGAGGACGGCACCACCGACAGGAATCGAATTGGCCTCCTCTAAATGAAATTTTCACTTTCTTCTAGGTTGGAGGGCGGTGCGGGGGGGTGAGGGCGCAGCAAGGGACGAAAGGAATTTGCTGGTGGCCGGCTGTGCACGCAGGACCGAACGCCCCGCGAGCAGCGGAGGGTGCCTCAGTTTCCCCGGGAAGAGGTCCTCGGAGCGCCGCCCGCTCTGACGTCGCGGGGCGGGCCGCCAGGGGGCGCGAGCGCGGGGCCGACCCGGGAGGGGCGCGCGGGACCGCGCGTGGCGCCCCCGGCCGCACGGGCCGCGCAGGCGGAAGCCCGGGCGGGAGGCGGGAGGCGGGGCGGCCGCGCTGAGTCACACCGGATCGACCCGCCCGCCGCTTCCAGGGGCGGAGGTGACAGCGGGCCCGGGCCGGGCGGCCGCCGCTGCCCGCCGCGCCGAGGGACCGCCGGGCGGCGGAGAGCAGGTCAGGGGCTGGCGGGGCGGGGCGGGCCGGGACGCTGCCCGGGGGCGGCGGGCGGAGGGGACCCGCGGCCGGAGGGACGCGCCGCGCGGCGGGGCCTGCGCCGCCCCTTCCCGCTGCCGGCCGGAGCCCCCGGGGGGCGGCGGGGCCCTCCTCGGAGTCCTCCGGTCCACGCCGCGGTCGGGCCCTGTGAGGTCCCGGGGACTCGGAGAGGCGGGTGGCCCGCCGTCCCAGGGATGCGGACGTGGGCTTTTTAAACGGTGTCAAGCCCGGGGCTCTTGCCCTGCGCCGCCCTGCCGCTCCGGCGAGGAGGCAGAACGTGAGGGCTGGAAAAGAATTCAGCGTGAGCCCAGCCCTCTTACTTTCCCGATGAAGAAATTCTCGCTTGCTCAAAGTCACATCCACTCGGTGTAGGAGTCCGTGAGTCTGGGTCAGGGAGGCACGGAGGGATGGTTTCCGAAGCAAGATAAGACCCGTTTGGCTAGAGATGCAGGTTTGGTCGTTTTGGAGTTTTGCGGTTACCCACGGATACCTGCATTCCTGCCGGCGGTGCTGATATCCGCCAGGCAACAGTTTCTCAAAGCGCTTAACCTTGGAAAGGGTGGCGATGCTGTTCGGTTGAGTAGAGGAATACTGGAGTTGAGCAAAGAGGCCAGGTCTGCTGCAGGTTAGGGGCTGTGGCGAACGCTTGGGCTATAGAGTTAAATTTTAAATGGAAAAAAAAAAAAACCCCACCCACTTTAAATGCAATCTCATTATCCTTTATTGTTTGGTTCATTTATACGACAATCAAGGGTACCGAACATTATTCTGTAATATTGGTGCAGGTCACTGCCTTTAGTTATATTTTACAGTAATCCTTTTACAGTAATAGGAGCATCTTGTGTTGAAACACTTTCTTTTCATAATTCATGATGCTGTGGTATGTGGCAAGCCAGTTGTAGCATGAATATTAAGGGTTTGAGCATAGTTGAGCTCCACTTGTTTGCATAGCTGAGTTACAGGGGGTGAGGATGACTGATTAATCCCTAGTTGTATTTTGCAAGAGTGCCGCACCTGACAGCATACTGGCGTGGTTTCTCAGAATTAGTGCTGCATTTATTATTCTCACAGCATGAATAGATTCCAGGGTCGGTGAGCAAGTTAGTTTATCCCTCGGCACCCACTTTTCTCTAAATTATTAAAGGATGTCTAAGACCTTCTTCCGTCTCTCAAGTTCCCTGATTTTGCATGTTAATTTGAAACTATGTCCCTTACTGTGACGACAAAAAGTTTCAAGAAAACAAGGGTAAAAAATTCTGCATGATGCATAGCAAATCTTCACATTTGTTATTTGCAACTGCTTGGTCACTTTTCAGTGTTGGGCTCGTGTAAGTGAAAAGTGATTTTTCAAGTTACAGATACTTCAGTGTCGAATTCACTTAAATTCAGAGACTGGAATGGAGTGCTTTGTGCGTGGTGGAGAATAGCTAAAATCGGACCTGGAAATGGGGTCTGTGTAGCGCGCAGATAACTTTTGCAATAAGCCGAGAACATTCTGCCTCAGAAAATGTGATAAGATGTCTTTTATACAGTGTTCATATTGTGTGTATTTTCAGCTGAGATAAATAATAATAATCTTTATAGACATTCTGTCCAAGTTACTTGTTTGGTCTTGCATCCCCAAAGCAGAGCCTTTCCCACCTGTCGTTTCTTCCTTCCTGGCTCCTTTCTCCTGAGCACCCCTCTTACCTGCAGACCCTTTCACATTCCTCTTTCGTCCGCATTGCAATTCAGAGCCTCCTTCAAGCATTGGTTGAACTTACTCTACTTTTCCTCCTCTTAAAGAATACGGTGAATCATCATTCTTGAGTCACCATTTAAGAGCTAAAAACTAAGGGTAGGCATCCATTTTTAGAGCATAACGCAAGATTCCACCAGGCTCTGGTTCTGAAAAAGGGTTGAGTGGACCGTGCTTAGATTTTTATCTTCTCTGTGCTTGCAGACTGCAGTCTAGGAAGCCTCCAGAGCCAGTCAGCTCATTTATCTCTGCCTCAGAAGGAAACCGTTTCTGCATGGTGAATCTTCACAGGCGTTGTCATTCTCAGCCTTCCCAGTCACTGTATCAGTGTTGGGCTGAAATAAGCAAGAAGTGATTTTTCAGATTTCAGATACTTCAGTGATTTTTCAAAGTACGGGTAGTTTTGAAATTGGGGGAATTTTAAAAAAATAATAAAAACAATTAGAATAGAATGCAAAATAGGCTTTCCTACCTATTCCCAAGTATAAGGCTTGAATTATTTTCCAGGCTCATTATTCTGTTTCTGGAGTCAATTTGTGTGTTACCGACAACATAGCATTGTTGCAAGATTGTGTGGTCTGAAATTCTCAAGTGTGCTTGGTCTTCAGCTAACACATCCTTAAAATTCATTCAGAATACTTATGAAAAGTTTCAAACATCAGTTTAATTAATGTTAGTTTCTTACTTTGCTCACCTTAGGAAAACATCTGCACGAACTAATTTTTGCGATTGGATAACTTAGTCTGTTGGTCAGGCGTTAATTATGAGATATTATAGCAGTTTCTTGCCTGGAAAGGAAGAAAGGTCTAAAGCAGCAGCCATAAAACCAGATCACAGAACAGCTCAGTAATCAAAGAGCCGTTAAACAAACCAAGGTGTTAACTTTTGGTTGGGCACTTTATCCTTGATGCTATAAGAGTCAGCCATAGGAGGTAAAATAGACAGAGAGCAGCTAAAGTGTATTATTTCATTTTTAGATTTGTAGGGTGTTCTAATTTGAAGGATGTGACCACCAAGAAGTGAGGCAGCACAGTGGAGCAAATAGAGCGTGTGCTGGGAGTCTGAAGTCTAAAGACAGGAGTTTTGGTCCTGACTTGTTCATTCATTCACCAAGTATTCATTGACCACCTGTATGAACCAGACACTGCTCTGGGTGCTGAGGATACAGCTGTGAACAAAACAGGCAAAGCCCTTCCCTCATGCACTAGACGTTCTAGTGGGCTGGAGGCAGATAGTAAATGAATATGTGACTGATAGATGGTCATGTGATCATAAGTGCTGTGGACAACTTTATTTATTTTTTAAGATATTCTTTTTCTTTTTTTGGTGAGGAAGATTGGCCCTGAGCTATCATCTGTTGCCAATCTTCCTCTTTTTTTTTTTCCTCCCTAAAGCCCCAGTACGTAGTTGTATATCCTAGTTGTAAGTCATTCTAGTTCTGCTGTGTGGGATGCCACCACAGCATGGCTTGATGAGCGATGCTAGGTCTGTGCCCGGGATCTGAACCGGCAAACCCCAGGGCTGCCGAAGGGGAGCGCACGAACTTAACCACTCGGCCACTGGGCTGGCCCCTGTGAGAACTTTAAAGAGGTGTTGGCAGGAAAGAGTACATGTGTGCTGGGGGATTTACTTTAGACACAGTGGTCAGAGAAGGCCTCTACCAGGATCACTTTTGATCTAAGACTTGAAGGAATTGAGGGAGTGAGTGGGTAGCGGAGGGAAGAGCAAGTTCTAGGTCCTGTTGCAGGAGTGTGTTTGGCATGTGGCAGGGATGGCAGGTCACCTGGCCAGGCAGTGCCAGTGTGGGCGAGGGGAAAGCGGCAGCAGACGAGAGGCGGTGGGCATGGGAGGGGCACGCCAGAGCAGACCCTTGTGAGGATTTGGGCCTTTTCTGAGTGAGGGGGAGGCAGCCGTGAGAGGATTTTGAACAGAGAAGCTCATGATGACTTATGTTTTAACAGGGTTGCTCTGGCTGCTGGGTGAGACAGAAGGGGGACAAAGGCAGAGTCAGAGAGGCCTTCCCTTTCATACTAGCTGTGTGACCCTAAGCCATAACCCTTCTCTGGGCCTTTGTTTCCTCATCTGTAGAATAACCAGGTCCCCTCTGCTTCTAGAACTTTAGGATTCTAAGTAGTGTGGAATATTTCAATTGGGAGGCCAGAGGATTGCACACAAAGGGATTCTAAAAGAAAGTAGCATCAAATGACCTGAAAAGTTGTCACTGACCCGCTGTTAGCTGAATCACTCAAATCAAGAGGTAATCAGGTCTTTTCAGTCAGGTTGTCAGGTCATGAGAACAGAAACCCTGCTTCGTGAATATTCTCTGCTGATCCCTTTAGTACTGTGCTGATCCCTGAATTTTCCCTTCCTGCTTGAAAAAGGATGAAAAGCTGTTACTCATCAACAGAGCTGGCAACCAAAGTAGTTTTTGTTGTTAGGAAATTTGGAAACTTTGGGGAAGGAAACAATTGTAATTTTATATTTATCATAGGTCATTTGAATTCTTCTTTCTTAACATGCAAGGAGTCCAAAAGATTTCTTTTGTTTTTGGTTCCCTTGTCCCCTTCCCATTTACCTTATGCCTCATAGGTACTCATTCTATGCATTTAATGTGTTTCCTTTTGTCTGTATGGGATCTTTGCAAAGTGGGAATGTTTGTTTTATATGTATGTATTTTAAGTTCTAGTGCTATATCTCATTTTGCTTCTTTTTTCTCTAAGTTCTGTTTTTAAGATCCACCCATGTTTCCATGTGTACATCTCATTCTTGGTTTCTGAATGCAGCATTATACTCCAAGCTGTGTCCGTGAGCCAGTTGTACTTATCTGCTCTCCATGTGATGGGTACTCAGGTTGTCCCTACTGCCTAACACCACAGAGTTGGCTGCAATGAGCATCCTTATAAAGCTGTATAATATATTTGTGGGATATATACTTAGATGAGAACTGCTGGAATACAGGCTTGCGTGTACTGAATTTGATTAAATGGTGCCAAATTCCTGTCCACAATGGCTGCACCAGCCCTCTCCTGCCAGAAGCGTTTGAGGGTTCCTATATCCTTGTGTCCTGCCAACGCTTGGCTTTATCCAGATCTCTACCTTTTCTAATCTCATAGGTGCAGAGTGATGTCTTGTCATTTTGATTTGTATTTCTTTGTGAATGATTTTGAGCATCTTTTATACTTATAGCTTCTTCTGTAAATTACTTATTCCTATCTTTTCCCAT